TTTTGTGGAGGTCCTGAACCCTTAGTTAGGAACATCTGATCTGTCAACAAAAGCACAACTGACTGCAGTTGCCAATTCTGACCTTTTGTACAGGATCCTGCAATTGTGCCAAACACATAAAGTTTGAAGATTATTTGGGCATTGTGCCTTTTCGGGGCAGCTCACAGTAGACGGTGACAGGAAACATAAGGAGAGGAGAGGATGACAAGGGTATTTGGCCAGATTTGAAGCGGGGACGCTGCGGTTAAGTGATTTCTGTTTTAGACCACGAGATGACCAGGATGCCTTTTAAAAAGAGGTGCCGCCGTGCGGTAGACTGAGTTGCAAGTGGGCAAACACATCAGCATACAAAGCACTTTCCCTGCGAGCGGGTGCTGCTCGAGGCCTATAGTTCTCAGATCTGTCACTAGAACAAGACTGGGTAATAACAAAATCCTCCCAGTGCACACAGGACTGTTAATCACCAGGCATCCCTCGCCTACTGCTTTTTCAAGACCTGTTTGACTTAAAGTAAACACGTGCAGGAAATGTATTCAGTGGCTCTAAACATTTATATGGGGGCCTTGTGGTTCAAACAGTTTCACGGCCGGCACATCTTTCAAGAAGGTGCTTAGTGAGCCATTTGTTAAAGGCATGATAATAGGGCATGACAATGCATGGCATGCAGCATGCAGTGAGGCTGTATCATTGTAGTTTGTGTACTCGTTGACAGGCGATGGAAGATGATGGCTGAATCTGATGAAACTTAATGTCTGTACATTGTAATACGGGGCTAATGTTTTCTAAGCTCCATCCTGACCCATTTTCTGTGCTGAATGTATTTACTGATACAGGTATGAAGGGAAAGATTGAAAAACTGTTTGTGGAAAAAAGAAGAAAAAAAACATAATCTATGAATCCATAAATATCCAAAGGCTTTGGACGAGTTCACGCGAATATTATGGAAAATCATTTTTCTGAGTTGTCGGATAAGTAAGCTCTCGTCTTTCTTCTTCTCCAATTTCATCTAAAAGAATATCCTTTGTTAATCTGGTCTCAATGAGCACCGTTGTTAAGTGCTGCTCACTCTGCACTCCCAGCCGGTCATAATCCATTGTGTTGTTTGCCCCTCGCTCGGTGTACATTTCCAGCGCAAATTCCAATGTGAACAGTCAATAACATGCACAGATGTGGCCATTGTAGAAACCTTACTCTTTAATTCAGAATAATGTAGCAGGGTGAACTACAACTGCACCCCAGGAAGTATCTGAAGCACAAGTTGTACTCTTTTTATTGCCAGAGATTATATATTTCAAAAAAATTGCTTAAAGTATTTAGTTGCAAGTTTTTCTACAAATTATTTTGTTTGATTTGAACAAAGTCAAGAAATAACAGTATTTATCCTGGAAAGATGCCTTATAAATGCATTAAGGGGGATTTCTGCAATGGCTGCTGTTCTCCTTCGCCCCAATCATCGCGAATTGTGAAAAACATATTAACCTCAGGGTTGACAAAAACATGTACGCCAGGATCTCATTTCCTCCTCACCATCTTGCTGCACTCATCAGTTTTATGTAGAACACAGCTCCTCCAGAGTCAACATCAGTAAAAATGAAACGGCACATGATAATGATGTTCCCTGACCTCTTTTAGACAGTCAATATAATCCATGATGTTGTGTCTTGCCTCCCGTCATCATGTTCCACGGCTGCGCTGCACCTATACCAGCATTAATACTAAATATGTGGAAAGCTAGGAAGCTAAACTACGCTGCATATTAGCACCATAAATCATGGAAAATCTACTTTTCTTGTATGTGAAAAATCATGACGTGTAGAGGCTGTAACCTGCTCAATGCCTGCGATGACAATGAATGAGCTGACGGAACAATCATTGTTGCCCCTTTTATGGCTTCACTGGAAAAACATTTTTTTTTTTTTTTACATTGTTTATTTTTCCATCCACCAAATCTAGAGCGGGAACATCTGCGAGCTTTCACCCTTTTGACATCATATTGAAACGCTGCTTGGGAAATAATTCATAGTCTGGATGCTGAACTCCCACATGTCCAATGAAAGAAAACAACAAAATAAATCTCCCATCTCACTGGCTGGGCCCTTAACAGGAAGTCAGTCCTATCAGCACTAGCAGGCACACAGAACGCCCCGCAGTGTTTCACAGTCAAGTTACCCTACACTATGTCTTTTACATGGCTCTGTTGTTCAGGGAGAGAATATACTGAAACTATACTGTCCTTTATTCTCAATATCCCCTTTCTCTGAAGACTCTCAAAATAAGGTCACACCGCTCCTTGATACAGGATCCCTCAGAAACAAACAAATAAAGCCTGTTGTTAAGGAACACTTTGAGAAACCCCGTTCAATGGCAGGTGGCATCCTCTTGAGAATTCGGTAATTCACGTGACACAGAGCAAACTGACTTATCTGTACTGCACAATGAGAGAATGGCACATATTAAATGGGTTAAAAAAAGCCGCAGAAAGCATCTGCATCCCTCTGTTTGGATCAGCTGCACAGTAGAGAGATGCTGACATGGTTTGCCCTAAATGCAAAACATCCCCATGACCCCAAAACAATTTCCTCTGACTGGATTGCTTTGCAAAACCACCTTTGTGATCCTGCATCATCCCATCCACTTCGAGCCCCCCTTAAATCAGCAAGACCAGGAACCAAGAGTTTATTACTCTTGTTTTAAGATGCTTGTAAGATCTCATGGTCTGAGTTTTACTGTCCTGTATGTTTGGGCAGAGCTTTACCGGTTTGCTTATCATCACAAGTAACAGCAGCAATATAGACAAAAACAATTTAAATCACTATGATAAACATATTCACCATGGTGTCAACCTCAAGCTTCCTCCTCCTCCTCATTGTTGGTGGCAAATTATGAGCATTCATTATCACCACCATCAACAACAACTGGGTCTCTCCAAAACTCACCGCTATGCGCGTTGATATCTTCTGCTCGCCCTCGGCGCCCTTTAGCTCTCCGTTGGCCCTGCTGTACTCTGGAGGTTGCTGGTTCGATCCTCGGCCGCCCTTCGTCTTTCGGTTCCCAGGCCCTTGGTGGACTATGTTGAGCAGGTGAAGCGTGCTCTCGTGCTCCCGGTCCGAGCTCTCGGCCTGGCCCCTCTGGTAGCGGTTCTCGCAGGTGGAGTGGTGCCGCCTGCACAGCTCTATGCGGGCGCGCAAACGCTCCACGATGGCGCTGTGCAGCTGTGGTACCGCGGAGCCTCTGGAGGTGGCCACCACCGGCCCGTTGCCGACCCCAGCGGGCATGTTTCCTAAACCGACACCCAACATGGGTACGAATGCCCCTGCAGCAGACTGAGCAGGGGTCGCTTCTCCCATGCCCGCAGGTCCCCGACAAGTTTGTAGAGACTGAGGTCCACTGAGCTTATAATGGACCACAGCATGGAAGAAAACAAGACGTATGCACTCAGCTATGATCCCATGTGGAAAGAAAAATACTACACCGCACGCACGAAGTCACTTGAGAGAATTACGATGTAGCCTGTGATATTTGTTTAAAGACAAATTGCACAATTGTCTCGTCAAACTGATAGGAATGTTACAGCGATGGGGAAGATTAAAAGACACTTGCCTATAAAGTCAGATAAGGTCAGTATAAACTCACACAATGGCTCCACAGAGGCATTCAAAAGTCCCAGTGCTGCAGAACTGTATCGGTGATCGCTTCCTCGGGGGTGCGACTATGTCAGCTTTAAATTAAAACTGAAATGATTTACAAACACGAAAGGCTCGCGGATGCACGGCTGGAACGGATCCACTCTTGCTTAACGACTCGACCTCTGCTCGCGGATAAATTATATTCAATATGAATCTCCTTGGATGATTCAAAACCACAGCACGCACAACTTCAGCTCCATCGGCGGGAAGATCCCTGGTACAACGCCATCCTACTTTATCTCAAATGTGCCACACTTGTGAAATAGTCCGACGAGCCCGCAAACTGTACAATTCAAAGTGAGCGATTGGTCGCTAGAATGGGAGAATCGACCAACGCACGACATTCACGAAACTTCCAACACTCACGGCATTTTTTGTTTGGATTACAGTCCTCTCTCTCTCTCTCTCTCTCTCTCTCTCTCTCCGTCTTTCTCTTTCCACCCGGATAAGAAGGATCTGGTTGCAAATTACAAGTCAAAAAGCACGCAGCCGAAACGCGGGGGAGCCGTTGCACACACCGATTGAGATCCGTCTCACATAGTCCATTGACAATCGTTTGTCCGTGTGGTGCACCGAGGCAATAGCGGAACTACAATACACAGACCCTCATTGTATGAACATTCCTCCTTTGACTTGACACGCTCACGCGGACGTTGCGGGGTCCAAACGCACACTCTAGTGGAGTGAAGGCGGAACTGTCCTGCAAGGCACACTGGGGTCGTGACACCAGCGACGCGCGTGCAGGTGAAAAGTAGCTGATGAAGCAGAGGCAGATTTAGTGTTATGGTTACAAATATTTTATTGTGATGGTGTTTGAGATCCTCTTAATGGATATATTACCGTTTGTGGTGTGTTGGTTTATAGCTACAGCAGAAGGCACTTCACATGTTTTCTGATATATCAAATATTAAGGAACTAGAATAAAACACATAACACAAACTCAGTTAGTTACACCAAACCTCCTATACAACTTTGGCCACTAATATTTATATATATATAAATAAATAAAAAAGAGAGGGCAGAATACAAACCAGCAAATTGCATCAACCAGGAAATTGTCATTCAGGGCCAGGGCAATAAGACTGCAAATATAAGCATTGTTCATGACAAGTTATGATAAAAAACAAATATATATCAAGTTGCGGCTCAGTTGGACTTTCACTGGCACTGTCAGCATGCACGTTACATCACGGAACACAATATTCGTGCACACATACGGCACAAATATCAAAGCATACTTACATGTAACATCCTTTACAGGTGACTTTCAACCCAAACACATCTATCGAACTGTAATGAAGAAGCTGAGACACTTAACGAGCCAATGCACTAATTAACCCCTTAGGCTACTGACATGCTTGTCTTCAAATAGGGTCCTTCATTTTATGGAGTTCTGAAACTGGAGGCGGCTGCTGTGCCTGAAGTGAACTGCAAGCCATTACTTGTCAAGTACAGTTTGTGTTCATCAATACCTAAAAGCTGGAGAAAGTTAAGGTTACTTAGTGCCTTTCAAATTAAAATAGGGGTATTTATATGAAGTGGATTTAGTTGGTTTTGCGTCCATTGTACTGCTGATTTAAGTGAAGGGTCATGCTTCACTTAAATCTGCAGACATACCATCTACACTGTAGATGAAGACTTTGTACTGGATGCCAGCACACTAAGGTTCACAACAACAACCAGGCAATCACACTGACATTCACAGAGACAGGATGCATGTTGGTGAAGCAGAAGGAAACTGAAGGCCCCAGAGGAAAACCACACAAACGTGAGGAGAACATGCAAGGTCCACACAGAAAGAAGCAAAGAGGACAGCAAACCTGTGAAACACTGACTTACCTGGCTGCCCTTTAAAAATGTAATAATCAATCAAACTAGCCCTCCTGCTTACTAAAGCAACCTGGCACTGACTAAAGCTCAGGTTTTAATTTAATCTTAGCCATTGGGGTCACCCCCTTCGTCCTTTTAGTAGAGTCATAAAATTACCAATACCGTTTTCATGAACTCATTGAGATGACAATAGAAGTTGACAGGCTGCAGCAAATACTTAAGAACTCATTCAATACACTATATTATAGCAGGACTCTTGCAGAACAATCTGCTGGTAAATAACTGGTAAAAAGTCAATCTGTCATTGGGGTCTTGGTCGACATTTCTAGCTGATTAGTCATTATTGTTTTGTTAAGGGTGGATGACATTTTAGTCATTGGTCAATCATGAAGCACAATAACGTTCATTCAACAATCACACCAGTTAAACAGATCACAGAGAAACGCATTCTTATTTCTTTTATATCTTGTATGCGTTTGTAAATGTCTGGTAGGAAAACACCTCTCAATGTACAGGCATACATCCCGACTGAAACCTCTTATCTATCTCAGCTATCTTTAGCAATGCCAATGGATGCAGCTGCTGTACAACACAACAGGGGGCAGCAGACTTCAACCTCTGTGCATTACAGCAACAATTAAGAAGGTGTGGGAGAGAGATGAGAACACAGTGTTTTGGTTTATATTTAAAGAGGAACCGTAACGCCAAACTTTCACTTCTTGATTTATTCTATGTCCACAGTTTAAGTCAACCATAATACAGGAATAACAACAGTCTTGTATTCTTGTGTATCCCAAATGAACTGTACCACATTACCATCACACTGGCATCGTCTGTCATATTGCTTCACAAAATCAAGACAGTTTGCATACATCAATGTTAGTAGAGAGAAGGTTTTCCTTGTTTGATAGTTGTTGTTTTCTTTCCTTTTTACAATTATCAACTGCAAAATGCACAATAAATTAATAAATTAACACACAAGCAATCTGCAAATGTTTTACAGTAGTAGCAATAACAGTGGTTAAAAAAAAAAGATCTCTACTAGTACAGTACGTCAACCCAGTGACAGTCTGACAGTAGATTTGAGCAGTCTTTTCAATCTCGCCCAGTCAGGCTGTCATTTAACATACTACGACTCACAATCTACTACGACACGTACACAGCTCTTCTGCTTACAACGGGTATCTCTAGATAATAAATTACACATCCATTTCACTTCAGAGACTGACAGGGAGACAGGCTTTTCTTCAGTCTTTTCTTTCCTCTCTCACGCTTTGTCAATCACAGTTCACCCGACAAGGGCTTTGCCAGTGCAACTCAAGCTGCCAGCCTCCCCATTTCATGTATAGATCATACAAATTCAATTTGGGAATAATAAAAAAAAAAAATAAAAAAAATAAAAAGAATAAAATACACGCTGTAACAAACTTAGCTTAATTTAGCCTGACCCCATCCTCATGAATATCACTTGCTTACATGTTTCAGTAAAAAATAATGATAAAAAGAATACAAAAAGCAGTAAAAATGGTAGAAAAACATTAAGAAGTAAATCCTAATGAAATAATCCATAATACCATCTAGCACTGCATGGCCACACGATTCATAGAAAGGTCAAATAGGTATTCACCCTTTAGTGGTTCCAGCCCACAATGAAATACTGGACTTAAGTTGAACTAGAAACTGATCATTCAGTTGTCCCAAATAAAATATGGCTCTCACTTGAATAATATTGTGAATAATTCAATTCCTCCAAGGCAAAATTGACAGTCAAAACTGAAATAGAAATATAAGGCAAATTAAACAAATGAAAGAGTTTAGGAAATTAAGAGAAACATTCTTTCCTAAACAATTTTTTAAGTGACTAGGATCACTGGCAAATCTTCATTGTGGCACGCTGCCTTTGCAAGAAAAGCACATTACATTACTGCAGTGCACCTTTTTGTCTCAGACAAGTGCATCAAACAGTCAACAAGATGTGCTGCAAATATGTCATTCTATTAATAATTTACATACAGAAAACAATTACTCTTCAGAGACCGATAGCTGTAGTGTGTGGCGTATCAAAGACCGAAGACATACATCAGGAAAACATAAATATGCTATTCTCCTTCTACTTAGCTTGTGTGGTTTTATTTATCTCTAGGGAGAGAGAAAGAGAGGATGAGGGAGGGGATATCTGAACTCCTTGGAAAGTATGCCTCCGGCTTTGTTTCTGCCTCCTCCAACTCAATCATTTTTTTGGTCAGTACACATTTCTGATGAAATGTATAAGAAGACTACCTGAAGTGAATTGCCCACTGAAGTCAAACCTACAAAGATACAAGATGCTTCTTCTTCTTCATCTTCTTTTCGCCGGCCTTGCTCTCTTCATTCTGTACATTGAGACATTCCTGACTTTGTACCTGCGTTAAAATAATTGGCCTGCCATCCAGCCCGACAGCTTTTAAATATGGTTTGGGCTCATACTTAATTGAAACAGCCATGTGCAGTCATCATTAGGGCTTCTGACACGGGCCTTTACGTAGTTGTAAGTCTGTGTTTTTTTCTTCCCCCCCTCCTCTTACCAGACATGCACTGCTAAGCTGAAATGATTGCCCGCAGTGAAAATAATCTCTTCACTGCTTCTGCAAGGCTCAGCACAAATGATAGATTGAAGTGAAAAGAGAGAGTCTGCCTGCATGCCAAAATTGGAGTGCATCTTGGCATTCCTGAGACCAGTAAGCATACTCTTACAGTATATTAATATGGTTATCGACCAGCTAGCCTTTGCTGCCCCTTGAAATGGCAGCAATTGGGTAAATCACCTGCAAGATGCAAAATGTTTGACTGTTGCAGAGGGGGGGACAGCTTTGAGGAAACACCTAATTCATAAAGGATGGATTGATAAGTAAGGATGATATTTTCATACACATTATCAATTGTCCACAGACTGTTATAACAGTCTGCATGGAGAGAGCTTTGGCAGGATGCTTCACCTGTATATGGCCTGATATCCTGCATGTTAGCAGTGCATTGCAGTAAAAATCATCACAGAGAACAGGCATAGGATAGGTTATGGCTTTTTGTCCAGTTTTAATCAAGCCCAACCAGTATTCATCGTGATGATAGACACATGATACTAGAGATGCTTGACTTAAGGTTGGTTGGACTTCAGGTCATTGTTTTGCACAGGCCAGTGTCAGGACTTGACCCCCTTGGCAGGTTCAGTAGACTGCCGCACATCGGTCCACTCTTGCATTGTGCTTTGCAGTGCCTGGGTCTTCTCCTTGTCAACTTGCACGTAGTCCACCTTCTCATCCGAGGTCACGGAGGATGTAGATGGCTGCGGAATGATAAATAAGCAGGAGTGAGATTCTGGCCCGGGGCGAACTGCACTGCGGTAGAAATAAAAACAAATGCAGAACAAATTGAGTCTACAAAATCATCTGCTTACTTTTCTGTGCGGACTGGGTGACCCTGGCTGGAAGTCCAGCGCTAGGTAGTCCACGTTGCCACACTTCCGAGGGGCCGGGCTACTGGTGCCGCTCACGGCTGGGGAGGTAGACGCTGGGTTCTGCTAATGGGGACGAGAGAGGGAGGTTTCACTCACACAGAGTAAGCGGAGCACGAAAACAAGTGGATCATTAAAAACAAAGAACACAATGTGCTCTCCTGATCTCCCCTCCGGCTACTGGGACTCACCATAGCCACATAATTCTCCTCACTGTCTGCAGAGTCGGTGCTGGTGATGCTTTGTGTGGAGATGGGACGACAATGCTGGGAGGACATGGAGTTCATAGCAGGCCTGAAGCAAAGCAGACAGGACTGTGAGTGCTTCTACCTTCTGACCGGGCAGGACAGTGTGTGTGTGTGTGTGTGTGTGTGTGTGTGTGTGTCAGTGGCCTTTGGTAACCTAGCTTGAATGACTGATACGAGACTCACATGGGCCGTGTCCAGGACATGGTGACTGGGCTCTTAAATGGCAGCTCATCAATGATCCCATTGTTCTTCAAATCAAGAGGTGTTGGCTTCGCTGTGGAAAACAAGAGCAGAGACTGTCAAGAAAAAAATCATTGTCCTTGTAAAAACAATCAACAAAACAAACAAGACAACCCAAACTTTGGGATCAGCGACGAGCTTTGCTGTCAGAGACTCACATTTCCTGTTAGGTTTGAGGTTTCGGTTGATGGGTGGTGGTGTGACATCACTGAGGCGGCTGGGCCGGTGACACAGGGAGGCGCTGCTCCCCTTACGGGCAGGTAGTGTTGCAGAGAATCCTGGGAAATCAAAGTGATGTGGCCCAGGGCTCATAGGGATGTAGATATTTTTAGGGCTGTCAGCCTGGGCAGCGCTGAGTGGCGAGGAGCCAGGATTCATGGGCACATAGTTGTCATCCGAGTTGCCGCTGTCTGAGCGAGTCAGAGGCGCTTTGGTTCTCTGTTGTCAAAAGAGACAGAGCGTGCATTCCTCTCTTAAACTCTCTGGGCTCAATATGGCAGGAAAACTGTAGCACTCAATTTGAGTAAATACAGGAGAGATGCTTTTTCTATCTATGCAGTTTATGATGTCGCACTAACAGCATCTGTCTGAGGACGGAGTGCAGTTGAAGGGAGAGAGTGACTCACCAGGTAGGAGCTGAACCCATCATTGACAGACTCCACAGACTGGCCGGAGTTGTTGAAATGGATGGGACGGTGATGGCTGTTAGTTTCAAACGAGGAGCCTGTGGAGAGAAGCGAGGAGAGAGATCTATGTTTACAACTGACATAAACTCTAAAAAGAAAAACAGGGCTCCACAAGTACAGTAGTACAATGCAAAAATAGGCTGATATAGACAAAAAAACGCCTGACATTTCCAGGAGAAAACTCACGTTTCTAATGAAACAAACAGAACACAAGTGACATTTCATTAAATGCTTCACTGGGTTGTAATTAGTCTTTGCAGCACAGGTGTGTGAACAGCCTGTAGCCTCACTAACAAGGGTAACAGGTCAATTCTAGTCTCTGGCTGTACAAGGCCTGAGCATGGGCTTGGCGAAGCAGAGAACACAGAATAATAAGAGGCCGCGCATTGTGTCTGCGAGTGTTTTTTTCATTTTTCATTGCTTATCAGCCTGGAACGAGGCATTCTGGAGCGGGCTGTATGGCTTGAATTTCATTAGCGTCTCAACAGAACAGTGTCTGCTAGACTGGCCTGTTTGTTTCTGCTCAGCTGCTGGCGTTAAATCAGTAAAATGAGAGATAGAGGAAGAGGGAAAGAGTGAGAGAGAGAGGGGGAGGAAGAGAAAGCACAGAGTCAGTGCGACACCACAAGAGATCGGACTGATGAAGTCAGACGTGCATTTGAGAACAGGAAACAGGTCAAATGTGCGATTTCAAAAGATCTGTGCGAGTCAACTGAAATTGCGTTTAAAGAAACAAGTGTCGTTTTGAAGGAACGTATTAGGAAAGCAGTAAATCCACAAATTGCATTCAGTGTACCTCTGTGCAGCCTGATGTTCTCGACAGCAGGGAGAGTATTCCTGCGTGGGATAACTGACACTGCAGGCGTCACCTCTCCATTCTGGCTCCCTACCGACTGGGGACTTCCCCACTGCCCCTCTGAACCCTGGCTAGGTTTGGGGGGCCTGGGAGGGGGAGCACAAGAAGACTCAGAGCTGGAGGGTGTCAAGGCATTGTGATTCTTATCAAACGTCCGGGGGATCTGGTAGAAGGAGCCAGGCGTCGTAGGAAGGTCGTAATTGTCAGTCGGACGTTCGTTGCTGTGCACGGTGGCAAGGGTATTGCAGGGCGTCTTGAAGGTGTAAACCTCCTCGTCCTCCAGATCTGGGTCACCTAGACCACTGTGAGCCGGTGCCTCAGAGCTGCAACCTCGCGGTAGCACATAACAGGCCTCCTGCGGGGAGTCATCAAGGCCTGGTAACTGGTGTTTTCCTGGCTTGGGCAGGCTGTAGAAGCCATGCAACTGGCCGCCCATGCCGTTGAGACAGTGGGAAAAGCCATGGGAGAGTTTCTGCACCGCAGAGTCGCTCCCAACAAACAGATTGCTTCGCGTGGCCTGGGAGAAACTGGCACTCCTGCAACATGGACAGAGACATACACAATATTACACAAATGCGAACATTAAGTCTTTATGGTCCCCCAATTTTCAGTGCCTAAATGCTCCATCCAAAACAGACATCTGTCTCATACTCCAATGCCAACCTATAAAAGGCAATTCCAATGAAATGATCCACATAGCCACTAGATGGCACTGTAGCACTTCACGTCTCAGCCTAATAAAAAAACAACACACCTTGTCATCACTGTCAGAGCACATTTGTGCAGCTCTAGCATACACATTCAATTTTAGTATTCTTAACATTTCCCTGAAAAGCTGATGTGTTTACATGTTTTCTGTATGTCGACAGGGAGAGGACATTCGTGCTAAGAGGTAGAACGCTATGACTTTCCCAGTTTTTCCAGCTTCGGTGAGACACCCAAGGGACATGCCTCATTTATTCTAGCTCCTTTGTAGGCCTTGACCTTGAGTGCCTACTAGAGCAAACCTATAGCTTAGACATTTCTAGCCAGTTAGCTGAGCAATGGTCCGATTTACTCGGCCAATGCAAAGATGAGATATCCTCAATGACTCGTTTCTTTATGTCTGTACTGATCTTCCTTGGGATGTTCTGCACGCGTTAGCTACACTGCAGGTTTCTAATGCTTGCGTTCAATCTCCATCATAAATGTAACCATTTCAAATGAATAATGCATCAAACGTAATATAATTAATATTGACATAACATTTTGCTCTCTCTGACTTTGTTCCCTTTTTCATGTCAGATGGCACGTTGTGTTTCATCAATTCTTCCTCTGTCTCCTCAGGATGCCAATCATCAATCAATGATCTTGTTCATTACTCTGCCTTCCATCATTGTGGCTTCACGGGGGCTTTTTACATAGATTAATTCATACCATTGGTCATCAAACCAGTGGAGTTTCATGAAATCATGAATCATACCCCCGCCACCAGATGCCTGTCTTAATTAGCAGACCCACGGAGCAGAAGCTGGTGAGGGAGTGACAGAAATATCTGCATAAAGCTGATGAGATGGATTGTGAGGTTTGGTTTCACAGAGGTCCAACACAGCAGATTTATGTGCAAATCGTGTGGCTGAGAGGGCAGTTCTACCCCGAGCGAGTCCAAACCTATAGGAGTGATGAATTGCAGCCTCAACCTCATTGATCATCTACTGTGCCGGCTATCTGCTGAATGGCATCATTATTAAAGCTGCCTTTTGATTCTTAGAAGCGGGCATGGCGGCAGCAGGAGGTGAGGTGAATGTTAATGGGAAAACTCAGGAGTGCGTTTCACCTAAACACTTGTTCCCTTTGTTCTCCCGCTCAGCATATAGCCGAGATAAGCATGCATGTCCTTATACATACAGTTGCTCAACAAGTATTCCCATCTTTTGTTGTTTATTTTGCATTATTGGGATGAATGACCTTTATTTTTCGGATATTTCATACAGCGGACTAACCAAAAACAGACATTTTAATCTTAAAATAATTTTAAATATTGCAATATAAAATGACATTACTCTGTGTCAGAAAATGGTATCCATATTGCCGATCCCCACCTATCCCTGTAGTATTTTATCATTTTAAATTAAATTCTAGCAAATAACAAAAAACGTGTTTGTTTGTAGAACCACAATGCTCGTAGCAACATTTCTTCCAGATTATCTATTACTCATTTTCGAATATTTTCAGTTCAGAATATTCACTTCAATTCAATATCATTGTTAAGAATTGGCACTTCCTCAGTCAGAGCACTTGTGAAATACATTATAACATTTCCACAATGCTTTGTCTCACACACACACACACACACACACACACACACACACACACACACACACGCACACGCACACGCACACGCACACGCACACGCACACACACACACACAAAGCAGTTGGATAATTTTCCCACCACAACAGTAGTTCCAACCCTTAGGGGCATCTGAACTGAGGAAGCGTCGTAAACCTGTACGTTGACCTGCATTAAGGGATAACAGGAAACTGACACAGGACGCCTGAGGGTCGAGACCTTTACCGTGCACTCTCTGTCTTCCTGCTCATGCACTGATGGAGGAGGAGGTAGTCCTGGGGTGCGCTGTTGGACAGGGAGCTGTGGTGTGTGTTGCGAACAGGCACATCAAAGGTGAAGAGGACTGGCTGGCTGGAGTGGATGGGGGCAGAGGACTTGCGTTCTCCGGTCAGCGGAGCCATTGAGCCGGTGACATCTGCTCCGACAGAACGGGGCATATGGTGTAACCTGCCATCTGCAGACCGGAGAAATTGGAGTTATTGATTGTTTAACCCATAACATGTGCTTGTTTTATTTTTTTTTAGAAACCCAATCTCACGGCTTGTCTTGGGAATTTAAAAGCAGATTGCAATCTTATGCGACAGAAAGTAACAATCTGCCAAATAACCATTCATCTATTTTTCTTTTGTCGTCACAATTCTTGAAGTCAAAGGGCAGTGTGTAATTCATTTGAAGATTTTAAGCCGCAACATGACCTTGCATGGAGTCTGGTATTCAGTAGGTTTCCGCCTGCACTCTGATCAATAGAGATGAGGGATCTGTCTCAAGAGAAAACAGTATCCTTCGGCTTTTTTTTAGGCCGCAGGGTACGAGTGATTTAAAAGCCCATGATCCACGCTATTCTTTCTGACCAGTGCCTGTGTGTGCTTTGTTTGATTTTATTGAGTTGCATTGTTTTGCACAGCGGGACTGTGTGAACGACATGGTGGTACAGTCTTATTGTTTGTGTGTGACATCCCTGATATCTGCATCGAAAGGCTCCAAAGAAAAGATGAATCTGAGAAACGGCTGCTACAAATAGACTAGGCAGGAGGCCAAATAGAGGAGGCGCACACTGAGCTGTAGGAGTAGAGAGTGGGCGGCCCACTGATCCATCAACCCGTGGTGCTGTGTGCAACACAAGCTGATGGGAGGGAGGAAAAAAAAAAACCCACCAATCCTCTTGTGCTGATACCAATCTCTCTCTTTTCCCCATCACACACTGTACAGTAGATGCAAGATAAATACTACTTCCATCGATGTAAAGTCAAAAAACTACAAAAAGAAAATTTCCACGAGACTAAGGTGATGTCTTACAATTGTATGTTTTGTCCAACAAACAGTCTGGAACCCAAAGATGTTTAATTTACAAGGATATTAACAGAACAAGACAGTACATCTTCTCATTTTAGAAGCTGGAATCAGTGTATTTTTGTTTTCATAAATTACTTAAAACAACAGTCAATCAACTGCTTCAGCTCTAATTTAAATCATGTCTGAAAAGTAACAGAATTCTCACTCCTTTCTAACAGACACATGCATTTTGCTTGTTCTCCACCATTCTCCTCCTCCTATCTCAGACCTTTTACAAAGCATATTATGGGTCCAACTGCCCTTTAAGAAGAGGCTGATGCCCTGTGTGAGTCATAATGTGAGCTGACCATACAGAGGGACCACAGCCACTGCAAAACAACGGAAAACACACGGCAAAACATGGAGTGTGAGCATGTGTGTATGTATGTGGGCTGGTTGGAGGGCGGGGGTATTCTGAAGCCCAGTTAGCTGAATGAGGTCACATCCAGGCCTGAGGGGGAAAAAGGCCTCTGCTATGGGGTCTCCAGGCCAGCGGACATCAGTGAGATGCCCAGGCCCACCGCCACGAAGGCACTCCCCGCCCCCCAATGCTCCTCAATTACACCATTGTTCTGAGAGATTCCACTCTCCATAGGCTGGTTAGGCATCATCTCCTTTCTCCACAAAAAGCTTTGTAAAAGCTTTCATCCAGTGCGGTGAGCACTAGGGCACCACTAACATGGGTAGATATATTGATTTGTTGTAGAAAGACAGCCCCCCCCCCCCCCCCCCCCC